TCAACAACCGGTACTCCACGCCCACGATCCAGTGATACTTCGCCCAGCCACCATGGACGCGCAGTGGCAGCAATACTACTGGAATCATTATTTGATGCAGCAACATCATCAGCAGCTCACCAACCCAGATACCACAACTTCTCCTCCCACCACCGCACACCACACCTACAGCCCCACAGGCACCTACGGCCCACTCACTCACGCACTTCGCACACACCACGTCCACCACTCCAACCCTTATGTGACTCCACCGTACACACCGCCATCGCAGCACACACCCCCACCCCAGGCACCCACCTCCCAGCCGGAGTTTCCACCTCCGCCGCCGCCACCCCTGCCCACGGCCGAACCTGTCACTCCACCACCATCGACCTTCCAACACAGCCCACCGCCACCACCCACCACACGTGGCACCACAGCGCCTGCCCCACCGCCCCCACACATCCCATCTCCCACACCACCTGTTCCCGACTCCTGGAACCCAACTGCACGGCCACCAACTACATCGTACAATTCAACCCACCCAGTGGTCTCGCAAAGCAGGAGTGGCCGGCCTCCCCACCTTTGAGGTCTTCCCGTGGCAATTGGCTTACCACGGTACCTCCGAGTTCACCGCCCGTACCCTGAGCAACGGCAAATTCACAGGTTTCATTGCCACCAGAAGCATAGCGGAGTCGGTCTTCGTGACCCTTTTTCTCCAACAACTTCGCGAGAACCGCCTTGACCTTGACGGCATAGCGGAGGCTCTCCACACACAACAGAGCACAGACGTTCCAAACAAAACTACCCATGCCCGAGCGTTCCACGCTCCCCTCATCAAACTGCTTATCGACCAACTGCAAACCCACTCCCCAGCACCTGCGGAAGGCTCCGCCCTACGCGCCCTCAAAAACACCAACGACGAACTGGCTGGGGCACGTCAGAAACTCCACGACCTCGGCAACCCGCTCACACCAGTCAAGAACACCGGCCGATCTTCTGCACCAGCCGCCCCTTCCCACGCACCCACACCACCACCACCGAAACCACCAGCCATCACCGACGTCTTGCAACCACCACACCCCACCCTGCAAGACGACGTCCCCGAAGGCTAGAACTACCCAGATATCCAACAATGGGTCACTACCTTTGACCCCGCCATCCAAGAAGCTGCGAAGGAAGTCATCCGACTGCTGCAAACAAGCAAAGTCACCACGCAGCAGCTAAAAGAAGCAGCCACCAAGTATGGCCTACCCCTCAACCGAGTCAACCGACTCCCCATTCGCAGCCTACAACAGCTGGTGGGAGTCGGAGCAGCCATTGGTTGCTGACTCGCCATCGTGGCCCAGCAGCAACCCAGCCACACCAACCTCACCCAACTCTTCCACCTGCACCGCGCACTTTCCATGCTCATCCACCGCACCCAATACATCGACCGCGCCGAGGCCATCTTTGCAACCGGCCTCATCCACATCACACTTCTTTTCGCATACCCGTCCAACACCCGTCGCTCACAACAATGGCGCAACTGCCTCCGCCAGCTCCACATTTTACCCCACACCTACCACTACCACAACTTCCTCTCTTCCAATTCCGTCTACATCAAGCTCCACTTCAATCCCGACCAACCCCAACGCTGCTACCATCAACATGGCCACTTCTACGTTGGCTCCACAGCTATCGGCATCCCCCACCGCGAGCACAATCGCCGCGCCAAACTCAAACAACTCCAGAACAACATTCCCATTTCTGCAGAACTCTCCCTACGTTATTGGCATTCACACAACAACATCCACCACTACACCACTATTCAACTCACCTCCCATGACACATACGACCAAGCCTGGATCCAAGAGCACCACTACATCGCCAACTGGATGCCTTCACTCAACTGGCCTTTCATTTCCCACCACCTCAAACTCAAAGCTCAGGGATGGCAGTTTGCGAAACACAGAGCCCACTTCTACTCCAGACTAGCCACCCACAAACGACTTTTCCGACGCCTTCGACAACGCCAGTACACCCTCAGAGAACCACACCTCTACACTTCCACTAAGCATCACGCCCTCCAACTTCTTCGCAACCTTACCAAACACACCGCAGCCTCTTTTGAGGCAGCAAAACAGATAAGAAGCGGCCGCCGCACGGACCTCGAGGTGTATGCAATCCGGCGTATGGCCGCAAATTTGGAAGAACCTGGCCGCAGCCGAGCTCTTCACATCCTCAACAAAGCCCTGATCTACCGCAACCTCACGCCACCAAAGCCAAACATCCCATTGACAGTGCCCTTCTTGGCCCACGACGACTTTACCAAGCACTGCCAACAATGGCTTCGTACCACCATCCAGCAGCACAAGCATTTCACCATTCCCCTCCACCTCCCCTCCCACAGACTGAGGGAAGCCGCCCACAAAACCCTCCGCTCCCACCTGCACAACCACCGCACATGGGAGGACACCCTCCACTCCCCCCCCAGATCCAGCAGACCTCCCCTGTGCATGTGACCACCTTCGCACCCTCCTGCAGGATCCCGATACCCCTACCATCAATGGCCACTACATCCTTACACTTGACCAACTCCAACTCCCTACACACCTCAGCATTTTCCTCAACGCCAATATGAACAGCGCCTATTACCCAAGCAAAGCTCGGTACTTCCTCATTTTCACGACGGCCTATACCAAATGGCTCAAACTACAGGGGCTTCCACCATCCCTAGCTCAACACCTACAGCCTTTCCTTGAGCACCAATGGCGCCTTCACAACACACACCTCAAGCAGCAACCCCGTTTTACGGCCCGCCTGCTTCGTCAACTCCAAGAACATTTAGGCAAACACACATTACTCCACCATGCCGACCATGAGCTCCAACAACTCCGGCTGTTTTGCCCTCGCCAATATTTCACTGGCGCCTTGAACACCTGGCAATCCCCAGAACTTTTCGAACCACTTCCCTACATCACTGCCGCCAATATCCACGATCACCTGGCCGCCACTGTCCCCCCCCATTTTGCGCACTCGCTACAAGTGGGGCTTCCGAAAAGACTTCAACATTCCATACGGCGTTGTCCACCTCAAGGAGAAGAAGCACTGGCAAAAAGGCCGCACAATTATTTCATACTTCCAATCACTCAGTGGCAACTTGCTTCGCATCACCAGCCGTGCCCTTGACATCATCCTCCAACACCTCTACCCTCAACATCCCGGCCAAATGTCCATTCCCCAGCTTTGGCACCACTTTCACAGCTACCTCACCCAAACACCACCAGACATCTCACTACACGCCACCAACGATGACCTGGTCGGCTTTTTCAACTCAGTCCCACAGCACCGACTCATCGATGCAGTTCACTCCCTCGTCCACCACTGGCAACAACAGCAACCCACACACACACCTTGACGGTGGATGTCCAGGCCACCGGCAATCCTTTCCACCACTCACACATTGGCAGACACCATCGGAAACACCCTACCCAACGCACCATCCAAACTTCCGACATTACCACCATCGTGGCTTTTGCCCTCAACACATGCATTTTCCGGGCTTGCAACAATACTTACAAACAAATCCGAGGGGCCGGGATTGGATCCCAGCTCTCTCCAGCCCTATGCAATGTTGCCATCACCCTCATTGAGCACTCCTGGCATCAGATCCACAACAACCTCCTTCAACACACAGACCTCCACTTTACTTACTATCGATATGTCGACAACCGCTTCATTGTCCACAACGAACATTTCCTTCAACACCCGGCTATCCAAACCCTCATCCACCACAATTTCTTTGGCGACCCAGTGGAACTCGAACCGGTGGAGGATTTTCATCTCCTCGGTTTCAACATCGACCTCCCACAACGCACCATCACCTACATGCAACCTTCCCAACCCTGGAAAATCCGGGATTCCACCACCGCCGGGAGCCAGCGCTTGGCTCTATCAGGCCTCCAATCACGACTCCACACCATTCGAAAATACACATTCCCACCCTCCAGCGCTGACGTTGCTGCGGCTGAACTCGTGAACCTATATGTCCAAAAGGGGCATAACTACCACGCCTGCCACCGGTTTTTGAAAAAAGCGCCGAATGCGGCGACCTGTGTGTGTCCCACCCTGGACAAAGGGTCTTACCCCACCACTCTTCCCATTTTACACAGGCAGGGGGGCAGTGGACCACCATCACTCACTGCCCAACGAAGACAGTGATGGATCGGTCGTGAAGCAATGCGGGACGCCGCATTGTGTACCTGCTGAGTTCTCTCCATGCTGTGACTCCACTTTCCACGTTTTTGGTTCATGGTTCTTCATGATACTTCCCCAAAACCTTCCCTTTGCCGCGTTTGTTTTGCAGCTGGGCCGCGCCGACCGATCGTTCAGCAGACTTGACCAACAACTTGTTGAAACACCTACAAGTCTTTCGGACTCTTCACCATGCCGTTCCATCGCCTTCCTTCCATGCCGTTCCCATAGAGACAATTGCGTTAACTGAAAACTCCAAGTTCGAAGTGTGTGTGTGTCGCATTTTCTTAGTGTTATGGGCTCGTTGTTCCTTTACAGAAGTTGCCAAACTGTTAACAACCCGGAAATTGATAACGAACGCACTTAATATGGGCGTAAACACATATATATATATACACACATACAAAGATAGATTACTCTCACAGTGTTGTCATCCTGGGCAACCTTCAATTTTTGCAAGGCTTTTGGCACCCAGCGTGCGGTGATCAGAGGGCCACCCTATCTATCAGGCAGCCACAGGATTTGGGGTTCTTGTTGGACAATTCAACAGGTGAGGACGCCTGAGGTTGCAACATCTCGCCCCAAAAATTGAACGTCATGGTGAAGTCCGATCCATCTCCCCACCAATCTTATCCGGCCGAACTGGGGCGGCCTGGGGAAGAGGACTTAATTAAATCAGTTTCGCTCAGTCCACCCCCCCAAAAGGTACTTTAAAAAGCTTGGACATGGCTGCACCACTCCCTATGATGCTACACCATGCTACACCCAAATCATTTCGTCTTCAGGTGCTTTGCCAGCTGCTCTCGGGTTCTACGCGCCCCTGGCGTCGCATCAGTGCCCACCTCACGGGCGTGCCCGGTGACACATCGCCAGGCGCACTCAACGCGGCTTGGCGCGCCAGGCACACGTGGACACACGTGGAAGAGGGTCAAAGGTTTTCTTGTTGGTTTCTTTGAGGCTGGCTGGTGAAGGGAGTCGAAAGAATGTAAGTGCAATGAGATATTGTGCTTGCGGAAAGTGGCACCTGATGTATTTAGGTCAGAAGCTTCTCTCGTAGTAATCTACTGGACCACAAGAAAAAAACATTTCTCCCCGCACACAGATTTCATGAGAAGTGTCAAGTGACATTCACATTTTGTTCAAAACAGGAAGTTAGGGCAACTGTGTTTGTCATCCCTTTCTGCATCCAGCCAAACGAGTCAAAACCTGAGGCCAATGAAGCGTTGATGAAAGTCGTTTGGACATTGCTGGGGCGTTCCTTGGACGGTGGGGTAGGTAAGAGCCATGGTATGTTGCTCTCCAGGTATGGCTTTGTAAGACCATATTGGCAAGGATTCAGGGACAAGTTCATAGATGGTTTGAGTTGAGCTTCAGTTCAAAGATTGCAAGAATTCTCATTTCCTTAAGCCTTAAGGAGGAGGTTTGTGAACTGTCCTGATTTCCCCTTGACCTTGTCGTTGGAAATCTACTCTACAGCTACCAGCATGTCGAACCGCAAATGATGTGCACATAATTTGAGCAACCAACATGTTGAATTACGGAGCCGTTCAGACCTGTGGTCCTGTTGTATGCAAAACCTTCAGCACCCTTAAAGGACCACCCAGCATATGTCAAATGCCCTAGATGCCACAACAATGGAACAATGAAAACGAACATTTCATTAAAAAAAAAAACACATACGAAAAGACGTCATTCGGGTAGGGAAACATTGCCAGAGAGATCCTCCAGGCTCCCCAGTTTCATGTGCCCATCGCCTTCGCGTTCACCGGTTGCTTTCGGCCTCCTTGCGCCATGCCGATTCGTGCCATTCCAAGCACGCCCAAACAACCAAAGCCTCTACTGCTCCTGTGGGCTTTGCTTTGTGTTCTGGTGCTCCAACAAGTAGCCTTTGCGCTGAGCTCAGCTCGGCCTGACAGGCCTGAGGCAAGCCCTGATGACTTTTCAAAGGCCTTGGAGTCTTTGGTTGGGAAGCTCTTGCCCAGCTCAGAGGACCGCCAGGCCAAACAGGAGCTCCTGAGACGAGTGACCGCTGCAGCACAGAAGGGAGCCGACACCTTGCGGGAGCCACCGACCGGCTTGCAGGCTCGGAACTGTGATTGGTCGGCCTCGGCTCGGTGGGTCGGGGGTGGGCCTCGGCTCGGGCTCCCAGGGGTGGGTGCCATGGGGGACAGGAGCCTACTGTATATTCACCAAATAGCGGCGCGTCCGTTCACACCATCGTAGAACTCAGGTCTTCCCTTTTGGATCTTCCGTGAATGCCTGTGGTGAAGGAAGCTCCGACGTGGATGTGGCGCTGTGGTTTCGGCCACCGCCGGAGGGGAACCGGCAAGTGCCTTCGAGTGAGATTTTAAAGCGCTTGGCAGCGGCAGCTCCCAGTGAGGGCCTGGAAGTTCTTGAGAAGCGACTCTCAGCACGCAAGTATCCCATTTGTGAAGTTGGGCTTTTGATGACTTGGGCCATAATCACAGAAGACCCTGTGGAAAAAGTATGTCGTAAGCCTTTTCCTGCTTTAGTTGGCTGGTAGCTGAAGGTAGCTGATCACAGTTAGGATTTGCAGCCAATGTTCCAGTGCTGGTTGTCGGCGGTTCAATTGGCCTCAAGAACTACTCCAGCGATATTTCGGCCTTTCACTTGCTGCCGGTCTACAATACAAAGCTCCTGCGCACCTACTCCGAAGTGGCACCCCCACTCTGTGGGCTCATCATTGCCATCAAGCGCTGGGCCAAGGAGCATGGCTTGGCACAGACTTGGGAGAACTACATCTCGTCATACAGCTGGACATTGATGGTGATTTTCTATTTGCAGGTGAAGCATGACTTGCCATCCCTTCATCAACTCTATGCGCCTCAGGACTCGAATGCTCTGAAAAAATCCAACTATGCTTTCAACTTCTTGGATAAGATAGCGCAGATGGAACATTCTGCCAATCTTCAGTCTCTCCGATGCCAGACGCTGGGAGACTTGTTTCGGGGTTTCTTTCGCTACTTCAGCGAGGAGTTTCAATGGGACAAAGAGGTGGTGTCAATCCGGCTAGGCTTTCCGGCATGCAAAGGTGAGAACTTTCATCGTAAGCTATTCCAAAATGTGTACAAGCGAGAGGCTAAAGAGACGCTGAAGTGGTTGAACATCGAAGACCCCATCGAGGTCCATCGTAATCTCAACTTTGCTTTGACTGAAGAGCATGCAGTGGAAATCATGGACGCCATCCGCCAAACTCACATGGACTTACAAGCTGGCGCCTCCTTGTCGAGTGTTTTGACCGATTCTGCGCAGCTCATTTCTGAAACCCTGGATGAGGCATATCAGTATGATGAGTATATGAAGAGTGAGAGGAGGTTAGATGGTTTCCTGCCATATCCTGACCTTGGGCCAAGGCAAGATTGCCGATGTCACCGGTGCCAGCGCGATTTTCCCACCTACCAAGCTTTGATGAAGCATCAGGGCCCACCCATGCGCTGTAGTTATCCTTTCCGATGCTCTTGTGGCAAGGGCTTTGTGCGGAAGGCTGACTTGGAAGCGCATTTGCGCTCAATGGAGACGAACGTGGCGCCACACGGCCAGCTACGGCACGACATGCGAAATGTGAAATGTGGCGGCCAACGACGGCGCGGGGGTCGGGACCTGTTTAGGCATGGTTGGGCAAGTTCATCGTGTTTGGGGAAATGGATGGACATGGTGCAAAGGTGAGTGCTTTGTTGTAACGAGTTCTACCAGTTGTTTTTTAGGACTTTGGGTTAACTTTGGATCCACGAAATCATCAACCTCAGTTTCTGTATGAGTTATTTTTGGTGATGGAACTACGCATGTATGTTGTACCAGGTCAGTAGCAGGTCAAACGGGCAACCGTTTGCCTTGCTTGCATGTATGTTGTTGATGTAGCTGCTTCGCCATTGGGACTCGGTGATGCTGGTGAAGGGGCCTCACCGAGTCCCACTGCCATGGAGCACCCCTCATGGTGCTCCATGTGCTGGCTTCTGACCCACGGAAACCAGGTTCCCATCCCACGGGTCACAGCAAGTGTTCGGTTTTGTACGGGTTTGGAAGATCTAGAGTTGTTCTTTGCTTTTCTCTTCCACAATGGTTTGTCGTATCACAAATCAGATGGCACAAACACCCGGGCAGGGCAGATCAAAACATATCAAGTGGATGATGTAGAACGACAAAATGTGGAGCTGGATGAGAAATGCGTTAGACATTCTTTCTCTCCAGCAAGTGTGGAAGATTGCTTCCAGTACAATTGCTGTCTAAGGCCCGGTAGATGACTACTCTCCTTAGATTGCAGACTCTTTAGGTCTTGGTTTCTGGAAATCGCGATCTGAAAGCTCAGGCTACTTGGCTGCAGGCGCCTACTGCTACCAACTGCAGCTGGCTGAGCTGAAGCAGGTGGGTGGAGCACAAGCTGCAGCAGCTTCTCGACCGGGCTTTGGGCGAACTCGGTGTTTATCCGTGGGATTGTTGCTTAACATGCTTATCCACAATTCAAAGCCTGTACGAGACACTCAATTTGGGTGGTAGTAAGGTCAAGAACTGCGACAAGGATTTGCTATCAGGTGTGCAAAGACATACTGTACTTGAATGACACATTATGTAATTTTTATACTATGTATAGTGTGTATCAATATATACAGGATGCTGTTTGTGTTTTTAAGAAGGTGCTGGAAATAACATAATTTCCATAATTTTGATATCAACTCGCTTGAACCATATTATCCATATTACTTAACTTTGATTATATATGTTTATTTGTTCTTAACTTTATAACAGGACAACGTTAATGTC